CCCCCCCACGTCGGGGCGCGGCGGGCGGCGGCGGCGGGAGCGCGTCCCGTCCGGGTCCCGAGGAGCCGCCGCCGCCGCCGCCGCCGCCGGCGCCGCCGCCGCCGCTCGCCAACATGGCGGACCTCGAGGCCGTGCTGGCCGATGTCAGCTACCTGATGGCGATGGAGAAGAGCAAGGCGACCCCGGCCGCCCGCGCCAGCAAGAAGATCGTGCTGCCGGAGCCCAGGTACCGGCCGCCGGGGCCCGCGCCTTCCCCCCGCGCCGCCGTCCCCCGCGGCCGCCAGCGACCCCCTGCGTCCGGGAGGGTCGGACGCTCGGCCTCTGCCGTTCCCCCCCGCCCCCGGCCTCGCCGTTCCCGTCTCTGAAATGGGCCTCGGAGGGCTGCCGGGGGGACTCCGGCTGAGAGCGCCCCAAAGTGCCCAGCGCGGCGCCCGGAGCGCAGGAGCGCCCCAGCAACGGGCTGCCGGGATGTGGTTGTGACTTGGCTGGACCAGCTGCATCCCTGTCGCTCCCTCCTGTCCCATCCCTGCGTCTGGGTCCAGCCCCATCCCTAGGGTCGTCAGTGCGCCCCTGCCAAGCCTCCCTCCTGCCCCATGCCTGCCCTTCCAGCCCTATCCCTAACCCTTCTGCCCCATCTCCGTCATCCCTCCAGCCCCATCCTAATGGGCTCCTTCTGCCCCGTGCCTGTGGCTCCCCTGGGCTGCCTCCTGGTCATTTCTTCTCTGGTTTCTGCTGCCCCTTTCGCCAACTGCGACCTCTCCTCAGCTCCGCATGGGCTCCTTAGCTGGGGAGTGCAGGCTCCTTGCCTTTTGTCCCAGGTACTTAAAGTGCAGTTTTCAGTGCTTGCTCCTCTTGAGGTCCAGTCTATTCCGCTTCCAATCCTCCTATCCTTTCCTCTTTTGTGCCCCCAGGCAGTGATGAGTGGCTTGTGACCCACACAGTTTTCTTTTTGGTGCTAAGTGTATAATCCCGGTGGCTTTCCTCAACTTGCAGATCCACTGGTGGTCACTTTAAACGCACATTGAATGGTTGATTCCAGACAGGAATTTGTTGTTTAAAAGACCAAAGAAGGGCCCGATTGAATTGGCGAGGGGTTTGGTGAGGGCCATACCAAGTTGTGATTTTATATCGCTAATGATTTATTATTGATGGAACTAGTTAAAGACTTCAGTGGTTCGTGTCATTAGCACCACCCCAGAAAAGATCGTTCATCAGAGTAATAGAGTTTCAAATAGTGTGTCAAAGGATTAGGGTTGGATTTTCCTCCTTAGCTTCTTTTCTAATTAACACCATCCTGAGTTGTACAGTGAATGTGCTAAATAGCTCTTGGTAGAATTGATGATAAAAAGAGGCATCTTCTGTATGGTGAGTTGGAAACCATGCAATTTTGTAAAACATTAGAATCTAAACTGAAGCTATTCTCGGTTGAAAGCACCAGTGTTTCAAGCACTATACACCCAAGATTGCTTAAATTGTTATCTTGTCATAAGAAAAAAAATTTTTTTCTTTTAATGCTCAGTGATCGCCAGATAATTTTTTACAAGTCCATTCATGAGCCTGAGCCCTACGACAGAGAAAATATCAGCCCCTTTCAGTTATTTGTTGCAAAAAGCCAAATTGTGTAAATGAATACGTGTTAGGTATTTTTGGCTTGCTTGCCCTTTTTGTTAGCCCATGCATCTTGTTGGGCTGGCAGGGTGTGCTCTTTGATACGCAATGTCAAGCAGGGAAAATCCGGGAAGAGTACAGACCTTTTGGAGGGTTGTGAAATTAACACTCCGTTTCCAGAGTCTAACATATCTGAAGCTCATTGAAAATCAGTGCTGTTTAAAATTTCTGGCAAATGGGAAGCTACGTAAAACAAGAACACCCAAACCAAACCTGAATTTCATTTTTAAAAAACTGCCTTTTTATAAATGTGGTATTCAGTGGTAATTCCTTTTTTCTTTTGCCTCTTCTCCTCTTCCTAAAGGGCAGGGAGTCCTGAATATATGGAGTCTCTCTATATAAAATCGAAAAATCTTAACTCTTCAGCAGTTTTGTGGGGGCGATATATAATATTAAAATTAGGAACTTCTGTTCTTTTTATTTTTTGAACTTAATGTGACTTCTGCTTTTTTAGTGTCCCTCTTGAGAATCTTGACAACATACTTGTATGTTTAGGATATTCACTTCCTTGTATGAATGTCTTTGTTTTTCAGCAGTATTCTTTGGTAATGCTTTCTTTTAAGGCAAAACTGGGAGATGGTGAGCATATTTCTCATGACATTTTAGAATTGAGAAATATCAAGAGGAGAGTAATTTTAGGAAACAGCTCTTAGTAATTATTATTCTGTGGCTATTTTTTTAAAATAGATTCTTAAATTAGGTTATTGGAACCTCCTCAAAGGATTCTAATTTGTTTTGTATTTATCTCAGTGGCTTTGGTTTTAGTTTTGTAATGTGACCATTTACATGTGTTAAGATTCTGTTACATTGAGATTATCAAGTAAAACATCTTTCGGTTTTTTATCTACCACTGGATGGCAGGTGGTGGCCTGCCTGCTGGATTTTGGGGTGGGGGGGTGGGTGGTTGGGGGATTTCTCAATATGGTAAGAAAGTTAATATTCATAGTGGCTTGGCAAGACTAGTATGATTCGCCTCTGTTGGTAAAGGATAGTGGTCAAATGGTTTCTGATAAGAGTTTCTATTTCAGCTGCATTTTGGAGTGAACCATGTGATCACCAGTCTTTGGTGCTCTTGAAAAAGATGTTTAGATTTGTATTTTTAGTATCTCAGTGAGGAGCATAACACTTGCCATTGGCCCATCACTAGTGACTTTTTCTTTCCAGCCCGATTATTTGAAATCACTGGAGTATTCTATATGCTTCCTCATTTTAGTTGCTTTGCCTCTTACGCAGTTTTAAGCAGAAAAGCAACAGGACTGCATAATCTCTAGCTAATTTAAATGAAATGTCTGGTCTGCCGTCCCCTGCCTATCACAGGAGACTCTCAGAAGATGGAACATTCTGCCCCGGGGAGATTTTGCTTCTCTGAGATAGCGAGAGGCAACCATTTTGTTATGTTGACACATTATTTAATTAACGAACCAATGAGTGTAAATCCCATAATAGCTGACTATTTGTTCAGATTACATAGCTGCTTCAGTTTACTGAAACATTAGTTGAGTTAATGTAGCTGATAATGGGATCTGTTGGGAATACTAACCCGTGACCCATGGGTTCACTGTGCAGGCCCAGTTAGAAACACGAGCATTCAGATGTATGTGCCAGTTACCCTACTCCATGTGAGGGAAGAAGTCCTTTTATTTGATAGAGTCTAATTCATAAGCTAAGGCCTACAGAGGGTCAACATCTTAAAGCCGTGGATCATGAGACCACTTGTACTTTAGGCTCGTTACTCTGATTAACCTTTTCCAATCAAAATGAAATTCAGTTGACTTGGAGTCACACGTAGTTGAAAGGGATTGAGTACATGAACTTGACCCTTCCCCTACATCCTATGTCCATTTTGGGGACATTGACAATTTTGGATCATTAATTACAAAGCTTGTCCTTTCAAAGTATCCAGACAATGTGATAGGAAGTTCTGAAAACAACATTTGCAAGAGTCTTTGTAACTTACCTGGAGCATTTAGAATATCCTTAAGGACATCTGTGACACCTTTTTTTTTTTCCTAAAGATTTTATTTATTTATTTGAGAGAGAGAGAGAATGAGAGATAGAGAGCACGAGAGGGAAGAGGGTCAGAGGGAGAAGCAGACTCCCTGGTGAGCAGGGAGCCCGATGTGGGACTCGATCCCGGGACTCCAGGATCATGACCTGAGCTGAAGTCAGTCGCTTAACCAACTGAGCCACCCAGGCGCCCTGTGACACCTTTTATTACATCACTTCTATAGGTGGTTGTAGAGCCGTTTCTCCAAGCCAGGCATGGGGATACCGTGATGGACCCAACCACAGCGTTGTCCTTCAAGGGGCATATGTAGTCTAGTGGGAAATACACAGTTGATTCAAGAAAGATGCTTACTTTAAAGTGCAATTTCTTGAAGATTCTGTTTGACCACAGACGAGTAGCATTTGGATGGCTTTTATCATCTATCGTCATAGAACTCATGTTTGCTAAGTGTTTTTACAGTAATTTGTTAGTTATTCCCGTTGAAGAGCTATCTAGCCATAGTAGACATAGTAACATGGTAATATTGCATCTTCCTATTTGTAAAACTATCAAATGGAATTGATCTTGAAAAGTAGCTCAGTTTTCTTCTTTTGTGGGAATGGAGTTTCTTCAGTAAGTTCCCTAACCCCAATCCGTGAGTGGTGGGTGGTGGCTTTGAACTAGTCCTCTCTGTTTTGGGTATGGGGGATTCTATGCCTGTGTGCCCCCCTGCCTCCCAACTTTGAACTGAAAAGTCAGTGATGAAAGAATGAACAGCCTTCAGGAAAAAAAGTGTTCTTTGTCGTTGGGAGGAGTATTTCTGTGTATAAAACGGTAGCAGTGTTCTTGCCTCTTTTCCGCTAAGTTACACATTCAAAATGTAATTTGTTCTGACCTTTCGGTTATTATTTCATTCTTGGTTCAGAGTCAGTTTGTGCCAGTGACTTGAAAATGCCAAGTACTGTGCGTAGTTGTCAATTCTTAGAAATAGACGTTCCAGTGCAATCAATTTTGGACCTAGAACTAGCTGCCCAAAACATTGTGAAATGTTTTGAATCGAGAGCCCAGTAGATCTCTTTGAGGTTCAGGCAGCCCCGGTTTGTATATGCAATGTGTTCTTAGAAGCAGTGTCTTAAAAGTGCTTTTCAGCATGCTGAATTTGGCTTTGCCAAACATCTGTTTGGACAAGACTGGTACTGTTGGATAGGGCGTCAAGACTTGAAGCAGGGAAGTGTAGGTCTTTATCTGACAGCGGGTGGCAAAGCAGAGTAGGAAACGCAAAGTAGTCAAGAGCAGGATGCCTGGGGTCCCTGCAGCCCTGATAAGGGAAAGAGAAGTTTTACTTCCATGAACTAGGAATAGAACAACTACCATTTATTGAGAGCTTACTCTCTCCTGGGGCACTTTGCATAATGAGTACATTTGTTCCCCATAAGACTGCTTGCTGCCTGGTGAGGAGCATCAGCCTCATCAGCACTGTTAAGAACTCTGCCCAGGTGACAGCCGAAATGCAGCCGAGGTGTAGTCAAGCCTTGATTTCTCAGAATCCGGGTTCTTTTCTCCTTTCTGTG